AGTGCTGGCCCAGACAGTTAGGGTTCTGTGGGTGCAACAGAAACCCATTCCAGCTAAACTCAGGCAAAAAGGGACTTCAGTGAAGAACCATCAGAAGCCCATGGAACTGGGCGCCTGGGTGGCTCAGTTGGTTGGGCAACTGCCTTCGGCTCAGGTCATGATCTTGGAGTCCCGGGATCGAGTCCTGCATCGGGCTCCCTGCTCAGCAGGGAGCCTGCTTCTCCCTCTAACCCTCCCCTCTCACGTACTCTCTCTCTCTCTCATTGTCACTCAAAATAAAAATAAATCTTAAAAAAAAAAAAAAGAAGCCATGGAATTAACTGCAAGCCAGAGAAAAGGACTTGGAAAGAGCCAGAAACCAAGGCAGGAGGGCACCTGCGTGGTTCAGTCCTTAAGCGTCTGCCTTTGGCTCAGGTCATGATCCCAGGGTCCTGGGAGCAAGCCCCGCATCAGGCTCCCTGCTCAGTGGGGAGTCTGCTTTTCCCTCTCCCTCTCCCCCTGCTTGTGTTTTCTCTCTCGCTCTCTCTGTTAAATAAAAATTTAAAAATTAAAAAAAAAAAAAAAAAAAAAGAGGCAGGAATAGGGGCCATAACAGTCCCAGAGCAAAATGACCTGGGTGGATGGAATGCAACTGCAAACAGTATTAGCATCTTTGTCCCTCTGCTCAATATTCATATCCACGGAGAGAACATCTAGTTGGCCAAGCTTGGACTGCGCATGCACTTGGCTGGGGAAGGTGTAGTAATGGACTGCAGATCCACCAATCTGGACCCAGTGGGAAAGAGGTCAGGGGCTGTTAAGAAGGAAAAATAGACATTTGCTGAGAGCAAGTGTCCAGTACCATGTCCCTGCTAGTCTCGCTCTTGTCCCTAACCCAATTCTCTCTACACAGCCTTGGGGCCCAGGCTCACCAGCTGGATGTCCAGGCTGACCCTTATTTTCAGTGACTTGACTCCTTTGCTGGCTAGTCCAGGCTAATTTCTGGGACAAGCTTGAATGTTGCTCTAATCAGAACAGTTTTCCAGTTTATACATATATTTTTAAAGATTTTTATTTATTTATTTGACAGAGAGAGATACAGCGGGAGAGGGAACACAAGCAGGGGGAGTGGGAGAGGGAGAAGCAGGCTTCCCACTGAGCAGAGAGCCCGATGCGGGGCTCGATCCCAGGACCCTGGGATCACGACCTGAGCCGAAGGCAGACGCCCAGCCTGAGCTGCCCAGCACCCCAGTTTTCCAGCTTAAATGTGCAGCAACCACCAAACACCCAGGGGCTACCCCTCCAAGCTCCTCACTGGCTACAGCCATGACTCTCAAATTTCCTGTGCCAAGAAAAGCCTGAGAAGCTTGTTAAAAATCTGGTCTGTCTACCTCCATCCCCAGAAATTCTGACTCCGTGGCTCTGCGGTGGAGCCCAGTAGACCTGCATTTTTAACAAGTGTCACAGATAGCTGCAATGCAGCTAGAATGTGGTCTACACTCGAGAGCCTGGCCTGTCACTGGCTTCCAAACCTCGCTGGCTGGATACAGATTTCTTAGGCTCTCCTCCTGGACGTTTAGATTCAGGCAGCTGAGTCTGTACCTCAGTGACTACACTCAACGGGCAGGCCCAGGTGATTTGGACATGGTATTAAAAACCACATGTGCAGAAACATCCCATCTACTCAAGTTGGCAGCAGAAATCTTGGGGCCCCAAGCTGACTTCCAACCCTCTGCTCCCGCACGGTGTGCTCACTCCACACGCCCCACGAGCTGACTGTCCATCTCTCCCTTTGGAAGCCCCTCCAGCTCCCACCCCTGCTCGACTGTTCTCCACTGGGCACGTCAGGTCCGCTCATCTTTCACACCCAGTCACCTCTGTACCTTCTTTAACCCACGCCATCTCCAGTCCAGGCTGCGTGTCGCCGCTCTCACTTGGCACTAAATTATAAACTCCAAGTGCCCCCACTTAACTCTTGGGCAATGCTGGTTTTGCTTCCCACCTAGATTATCAGTGCTTTGAGAATAAACAACAACTTTTATGCTTTTCTTCTATTCTTTGGGTGACCTGGTGTGGCTACCTAATATTTAATGGTTACTATCTCAAACCTCTCCTGAAGGCAACTGCACTCAAAATGAATTCCCTCTAGTCAGTCACTTAATGTGGAGCTTCTGGCCTAACGTTCAGATACTGAAAACTGCTAACCTAATGGAGAACTAACTGCATTATGTCAGGCTGAACCACATGAAATTTCTGGCATTCTATTTTTTCAAATATTTTGATATTTTCAACACACAACAACGGCGATTTCATGTGGCTTAACCGAATATATCCAAGTCACTGTGGCAAACACAATGTCTGCCCAGTTGCGTCTGCTAAAAAAGCAGAATTGTGTGGTGATGGGTGGCGGTCAACCCCCCTGGCCATCCTCAGGCCACATGAGTTACACAAATTACCCAGAATATGGAGAAGAGTATCACAGATCTGAGCTGGTTCTAACTAAATATCAACAAAGACGAAGTTCCCATTCTTGCCCTGAAATTTCCTTTGGATTCTCTACTTGCAAATGATCCGAACTCCATCTGGGAAGGCAGGAAATGAGTGCTGGGCTGGAACCATGTAGTAAAGGGAAGAGCTTGCAAACAAGGGGCCGACAGGGAGACTGGGGTTTCTCCTCCAGGCAGTGAGGAGGGGTGGTCTATATAAGGGGTGCGGGCTCCTAACTCCCCATGGAATACATAAAACATATAACATACCTCCATACCCACGTCTACTCGGGCTATTAGCAGATTACGGAAAAGGGGTTGAGTAAGGAATTGACTCATTTTAATTTTCTAGAATAGCTGACAAGTACCAAGACTTTAGTCTCTGGGTTTCCCCCAAGGAAACAATCTGGACTGGACCCTGTATGTTCAACACCAGGGTCTGATTGGAGACTGTTTACAACGCACTCTGGTGATTAAGCTTCCAACGTTATGTGTATTTATCTCGGGGCTTCGACAAGTAAACCCTGGTGGTTGCCCACACTCACGTCCCGTGATGGGATACGACTGTGAGCCAGGACGTTCACAGTGTTTTAAAGATAACGCCAGGGAAGTGGGCACAGCGAATGTATGAATCCACACTGGAGCCAGACTGCCTGGCTTGAGGGCGGCCCTACCACTTCTGAGCTGGGTGATCTTGGGCAAAGCCTCTCGTTCCTTCTACGAATGTTTGTGGGGCATCAGCTACTCCCACATGCCAGCCTGGGCACTGGGGATTAAATGAAGAACAAGGTTGTCATGTTACTGACGGACAGACCCCGACCTCCAGTCCCTCATCTGGAAAGCCAGCAGCAGCAAGCGTACCCGCTGCAGGAGACTGTTGAATCAGAGAAAGTGACCCATGTAAAGCCCTTAGAACAACCTCTGCCATCTGCTCAGCAAGCATTAGATGCTCCCACTGCCACAGCGCCAGCACCATCATGCTGGTAAACTAAACTCCATCATGTCATCACCAAAACCAATCTAAGATCAAAATAAACCTCCCGATGGGGCCTCTGCCTTACCCAAAAAACTATTTAAGAAACTCAGTGAGAAAATGGAACACTACGAGGACTGTTACAGAAAGACAGAAAAATATTTCTCACAAAATGTTAAATAAAATGTTTCTAGAAGATTCTATCGTTACCAGCAGCAGCAGCACACACTGTATACAGCACTTACTATGTATCAGGCACTGCTTTGAGCTCTTCATTTTTATAAATAAGCAAATAATCCCCAAGCCCTGGAGGTATGTGACATCACTCTCCTTTTTTACAATGGATGAAACCGGGACACAGAGATGTTCAGTCATTTGCCCAAGGCCATCCAGCCAGTAGTTGGCCTAGGCAAGACTCAAACCCAGGCTGGGGTCTGTGTTCCTGACGTACCTGCCAGCTATGGCCTCAGGGGGGCAGCGTTCTGAGCCGCGGCTGGACGGGTGCCAGGGCAGAGAGGAGGGAGGGAGGCCCCCCAGCTGCCCCCCCCCCCCCCGGGGCAGGGGGACCAGGGCTGTGCTTTAGTAAGAGCATTTGCCCAGCAATTTCATGCCCAGGTGTCCACCCACACACACCGAAAACCTACGTCCACACGGAGACTTGTATGCTAATGTTCACTTCAGCATGATTCATAATCGCCGCAAAGTGGAAACCATCTTAATGCGTGTTCGCTGATGAACAGATAAATGGGAAATGTGGTACGTCCACACAATGGGATATTATTCAGCAATAAAAAGGAAGGAAGGACGGATGCATACGACCACTGAAGCATGGGTGCAGCTTCAAATTACCACGTGAGGCGAAAGACACTCGTCACGACAAATCCAGGATAGGCACATCCATGAGACAAGGGGCGGGGGGTGTGGGGAGTGGCTGCTAATGGTGCAAGGGTTTCTTTGAGGGTGATGAAAATGTTCTGGAATCAGACAGTGGTTGACGGCTGCACAATCCTGTGCATATACTCAAGCCCTGTGAACTGTATACTTCGCTGCTTGTGTGGATTTTCTGCTGTGTGGATTGTATTTTTTAAAAAGACTGTAAGAATAATTGGTCCCCCATGAAAATCTCCAGAAGGAAAGGACCGATTTACCTGTCTACTAGGGCAAATACAATCACGTTACCACTATGACTTGGCTCTCAACTGCTTCTCTTCATAGTTTTTTAAATCTCAATATGTTAACTTTTGCACATCAATAAAAAACAGCTGGGAACTCCTAAAAACATACAACTTTAAAATAAGTATTATTTCATTCATGACAATACATTAGGTTTTGATAAATGCTGCAATAACATTCAATCCAACGAGAAAGAAAAAATAGATGACATTTTATTAATAGGACTTTTTCCTCAAAGTGTATTTCACTTCCTGCTTCTGTTGCAGCTTCCTGCAGTGCCCACCAGGGCCTCATCATGGCAAAGAGCCACCCTGCCTCTGACACATGCTGACAGATGGGGTCACTGCTCTGTGTCCCAGCTTCCTTTCCTTCAAATGGGGATGGCAGAAAGCACTTGCGTTTGCTTTTGTTTCATTTGTGGGCAAAGACTTAGACAAGAGCCCAAGGTAAGTCCTGTCTTGCAGCCCAGAACTCACTATTCAGTCTGACTGTTGATACGGAAAAGAAGGAACAGGACATCTACAACGGGAGAAAGTGATGGTGGGGGTGCTGGTCAACAGGAAGGTTGGGTCCGGGACCACAAAATGACTAAAAGCTTAGGACATAAGAGAAATCTCAGCTATACTGAATTTAACATTCTAACTTTTACGTCAACATGAAACAAAGATGGCTTCTTTTTTCTGGCTTCTCACTTGAGAACGCAATGTCTGGACTTCAAGGTACTGGCATATCCCCCAAATCTGTCCAATGCTAGCGGGTGATCGTTCCGGGGTGAACATGGTTTGAACTTCTTCATGTTAAGGGGGTGTCTGAAATTGAGAACCAGGCAGATCCATCTACTCTGACCCGAAACATGAGGGGAATTTTTGAAGTATGTCCATATTCAAGCGGAGGTCAAAGGAGCCCAATCGGAGGAACCATGGACTGAGACAGTGATAACTGGGACTGAACAAAAGTTCTTTTGAAAAGGACTATTTTGAAGACTGTGACTCTGACTGTGGAGGAGCTAAGGTGGTTGGGAGCGGAAGGGGTCACATGTAAAGTCCTTACGTAAAATGTGTTGACTTTAAAAAGAAAGAAACAAACCGGGGATGATGACAGGAAGCATACTTACCTCCTAAGACTGTGGAGGACTACATACAAATTTGTATTTGTAAAGCACCTAGAACAGTGCCTGCAAGCTTGCAAAGGCTCTATACACGTTCCGTATTATTAGTGAGGCAGCAGGAGGGTGCTCTGCACACAACAGGTCTGCAGCGGATACTCCACAGAGACCCAAGGGAGTGAGTCTAGAACTCCTGAGTGCAGTCACCCCTTAAAATGCATGAAAGGTGTAAGTCCACTCCAAAACATAAGCTGATTTACACAGCACTAAATATTCCACTCCCGAGGAAGAACTGGACATAGTAACCATATGGTACACATGGGATGTCTGTGTGTATATATATACCTAGGTAGTTACAGAGAAAACCAACAGGTAATGCTAAAATGGTTTTAAATCTAGGGAAAACAAAATGAACAAACCATCTCAGCTGACAAACACTAATGTGTGTTCACGGCACAGAGCGCTTCCTCTTCTGTCCATCTAACTGGGTTTCTCTGTAAAAACCAATAAACAAGTAAAACTAATTGGTCTGTCTCCACCACTGACTCGAGGAGCGCAAACTGGTGCTCAGGTTACGTTCCTGAAAATGGGATGTGGCACTCGAACAGAATACGAAGAACGCAGTCATTGTAAAAATAGCTCTTCAGAAACAACCGCACACTCATTTCCCTCAATGTACCACAATAAAATTAATGTACGATAGAATCTATATGAGTTCACTGAATTGTCCATATCTGTCCCTAGACAAAGAGAAAACCTTCTTTAATATGAGAAACTGGGTTTGGGAAAAATATCCTGCAAAAACTACTCTTTACAAAAATTACCGTCACGATGTCAGTTTTGACTCTGAGGCAAACCAAGGGTGAAGCAGCACTTTCCCCCCCAGCTAAGGAAGCTACTATGGTCACTGTGTAAAAGCACAGTTCTGATCTGGAAAGTGCTATTAAATGTTACAAAGCAGAAAAGCTCCAAAGCAATCCCAGAGATTTGTCTCTTATAAATACTTAGGTTACAAGCTTATGAAGCAACCCATGTTAAAAATTTATTAAAAGTAAAAATCGAAGCCAAAAGGATTCCTCTATAAACACGGCTCCATTTTCTCAGCTCAGTCTTTCCCAGTACCTGAAATCTGGGCCATGCAAGGGCAGCCTCGAGCCACACGAACCAGCAGCACCAGCAGCACCAGGGAACAGGTCAGAAAGGCAGAATCGCAGGTCCTCCCTGACCCGCTGTACCCGAATCCGCATTTTTAACATGATCCTCAGGTGCTGTGTGTGCACGCTAGTCTGAGATACACTGGTCTAGGTGTTCTCTATCTGGTCACACCGAAGAATACAATGATGCAATAAATATTTTGCTTTTCAGCAAGGACAGGTTTTTTCTTTCCAGTTACTCTATTAAAATTAAAAGGAAAAAATGTCATACACAGAAGCCACAGACACCTCTTAACTATTAAGACATTTTCAGAAAGGCTCAGAAATAATCTAAACGGGATATGTGAAATGCTTCGCATCCAGTCCTCATTTATCAACAGCAAGATAAAAGCCACGTTCATACCTGCGAATCGCAGAGGTGCGTCTTTATCCAGGGCAATCAGAGGAGGGTCAAGAAGCACTGCATTATCGTTTTCTGTGATTATGCCATGATAGGTGGGCTCGAGCCATGGTTTGTGCTTGTTAACTGTGTTTAAAAAGAGAAAAAGAAGAAAAGGAATAGACCAGGTCAGAATTATTAAACTCCACTGCTTCTAAAGACACACATCTATTACTAAAATAATAAAACACTCATTAGTCTGGAAGGCAACACTTGTAATTTTTTTAAAGATTTTATTTATTTATTTGAGAGAGAGAGAGAGAGCGCACGAGCAGGGGGGAGGGGCAGAGGGAGAAGGAGAAGCAAAATTCCTACTGAGCAGGGAGCCCGACGTGGGGCTCAATCCCAGGACTGACCTGAGCTGAGGCAGATGTTTAACCAACTGAGCCACCCAGACACCCCAACACCTGTATTTTTTGTTGAAAAGTTTGGCATCAAGACCCTAATGGGATGAAATTCTGAATTCCAGAGTAAGTAATATAGAAACTGAGTCTAGGGAGCAACCGGAATTAAGAAATAAACTACTCTAGAAATTAAAAGACTGATGGCTATAGACAAACTGTTTTTAAGCTATCACAGGAAAGTTACAAAGAAAAATATACTATCACTTCTTTATGGCAATAATAATACAGTATTACCTATTTAAAACTAGCATTACAAATAAAAATATAAAAGAAAACTTATGAATATAAAATTACAGAGTATAGGGGCACCTGGGAGGCTCAGTCGTTGGGTGTCTGCCTTCAGCTCAGGTCATGATCCCAGGGTCCTGGGATCGAGCCCCGCACTGGGCTCCCTGCTCTGCGGGAAGCCTGCTTCTCCCTCTCCCACTCCCCCTGCTTGTGTTCCCTCTCTCGCTCTTGCTGTGTCTCTCTCTGTGTCAAATAAATAAATAAAATCTTGAAAAAAAAATCAGAGAGTATAAATAAAACTAAACGCAAATTTCTGAAAACCTTGACTGAAAACAGTGTTTACAAATAACCCAGTTTGAGGGTCAGGCCGTGTTAAGGTCAGATTCCAGCTCCCTCCTATTACTGGCTGCGTGACCTTTAGCACATAACCGGCCTCTTAATTTCAAGTCTCCTCATCTGCACACCAGGGACATGCGCACAACCCCCAAGGCTGGGGCAGATCACTGGAGAAGCGACCTGTGTCCTTCTTGGTTGGGCACTGGCACGGATGATCTTGTTCCTAAGGTAAAAACGGCCATCCTGGCGGTCTGCTCTCGCAGTGAAATCCAAGTTTTCATTCCATTTGTTTTGCCTGGGGCTTGGCCCATGCGAGACCTCCTCCTGCTCAGAGCCAGGGCCCTCTCTGAGTCCCCATTTCCCCCAGCCCGGTCTGGGCGGCCCAAACCTTTTCATTTCTTTTTACCTTCACCTTATGAGTGCTCACATTACAACCTCGGTGTGTGTATTGACCGCGGGGGGCTGGCCCCAGCTGAGCCGATCTAAGTAGAAGGAATGGTATGAAGAAGCTCTATTTCCAAGTAGATGGTGCCTATTTGTTGAATGAACGACCCAATTCTTTCCCGCAAGTCCATCTTCAGAAGGAGCTAAAACTAAGATTCAGTGTTTAGCCACGATATGATACTAACAACCACCACAATGTGTTTGCTGTCACGTGATGACCATCACGAGCCGCCAGGAGCCTGGGCTTCACGGGCATGTGCTCTGCGGCTCCCATGTGCCATTCTACACCAGCACGGAGGCGGGAAAGAAGCTACCGTCTCGCTGACTGATGGTGCATTTACCAGACATTTACACTCACCTTTTTTTTTTTAAGATATTTTTTATTTATTTATTTGACAGAGAGATAGAGAGCACAAGTAGGCAGAGCAACAGGCAGAGGGAAAGCGAGAAGCAGGCTCTCTGCTGAGCAGGGAGCCCGATGCGGGGCTCGATCCCAGGACCCTGGGGTCATGACCTGAACCAAAGGCAGCCGCTTAACCGACTGAGCCACCCAGGTGCCCCTACACATACCTTTTCTAAACCAAGAGCAAACCCTGTCGTCTTCACTTTCAAAATAAATCCAGATCCATGGGAGTTATCCCATGGTTCATGGGTACAGAGTTTCAGTTTTGTGACATGGACACAGTTCTGGGATCGGCCACACAGCACCGTGAATGGATGTACTTAACACCGTGTGCACTTCCGATGGGAGGCTTTATGTATGCGTTACCACAATCAAAAAAAAAAAAAAAAATCCACACATAAAAATCAATCCAGACGGAGCCATTTCTCATCGTCCGTGCTGCTCACCTGGACTATTTACAAAATCCAGGTAACCAACCTCATCCTTGCCCCCCTGCATGACAGCCAGACGGACGCTTCTCCACCTCTGCTCTCAGAGCCCACGGACACCACATGTTCCTGAGGACCCTATGTGGCTTTCGTTCATGTGGGATCTATCTATTAACTGGCGACCTAATCAGCATTTACTGCACTGGGAATCAAAATCAAGAAATATTTTATTATTTATCAATTCATTTTTAAAAACAGTATGTCTATTACATGTTAACATAAGTAACATTTTCGTGGAAGTAACTATACTTTTTTTTTTTTTAAAGATTTTATTTATTTATTTGAGAGAGAGAGAGAGAGAGAGAATGAGAGACAGCATGAGAGGGAAGAGGGTCAGAGGGAGAAGCAGACCCCCTGCTGAGCAGGGAGCCCGATGCGGGACTCGATCCCGGGACTCCAGGATCATGACCTGAGCCGAAGGCAGTCGCTTAACCAACTGAGCCACCCAGGCGCCCCGGAAGTAACTATACTTTTTAAAACAGAGTTTACGAAGAAGAGCGGCGACGTGTCACGTTTGCAAGTCTTTCTACAGTCTGCAGAGTCCTGCTTCTCCCGCAGCCTGCAGGCCGCTCTGTCACATGTCACGCGGCCCCTAGAGAGCTCCAGCAGGAACGTGAGAGACGAGGAAAAAGGCAAGCGACGTCTTAACATAATTAAAACAGCTCTGACCTCTTCCAACCCGACAGGGTCTCAGGGGCACTCCTCACCTCACTCGGGTCTCCGTTCAAACGTTCCCTCCTCCAGCTACAGCACCTTCCACTCTGGTCCCCACGTCCGCTTTTCCTTTTCTTTGGCTGCTCGTCGCCACACCGTCAGGGAGAGGGCAGCGGTGCGAGCTGGGGGCCTCGGGGCAGGCTACATGGCTTCCCTTCAGTGGGCCTCAGTTTCCCCACCCATAGAGGATGGCAATAGTACCCAGCTGATGAGTTGTTCGGTGAAAGGCTTAGGACAGAGTCTGGCGCTCAATAAATGCCATTAGGTGTCGCTGTGACTTCTCCTCCATTCAAACGTGAACTAAACCTCTTGTTCTCTGGTAATTCCCAGCACCTAGCACTGTGCCATTACCCAGTTGCCAAGACTCCCATCCTCCCCAGACAGCTCGTTAAACCATCTAGGACGGAGGCTGGAACACTGCCTGCAGTTACACAGACAATACAGAGAAACAGGCCACCTGAAAGGAAGTAGTGCAAAGCCCTCTGTTTTTTTTTTTTTTTTTTTAAGATTTTATTTATTTACCTGAGAGAGAGAGAGAGAATGAGAGAGAGCACAAGAGGGAAGAGGGTCAGAGAGAGAGAAGCCGACTCCCTGCCGAGCAGGGAGCCCGATGCGGGACTCGATCCCGGGACTCCAGGATCATGACCTGAGCCGAAGGCAGTCGCTTAACCAACTGAGCCACCCAGGCGCCCCAGCCCTCTGTTTTTTGTCACTAATCTCATTTTATTTATTTTTTTAAAAAGATTTTATTTATTTGTTTGCAGAGAGAGACACAGTGAGAGAGGGAACACAAGCAGAGGGGAGTGGGAGAGGGAGAAGCAGACTCCCCGCCGAGCAGGGAGCCCGATGGCGGGGCTTGATCCCAGGACCCTGGGATCATGACCTCTGCCTTCGGCTCAGAGCCACCCAGGCGCCCCACTAATCTCATTTTAAAACACAGAAAATGTGAGTTCGACTTACTATTAACAATGCACCATTAATAGCAGTATTTGGTTCCAATTTGTTTTCATACTAAAGGTTTTATTAATAAAGTTATAAGCGCGGCAAATAAAGCTGAAGATTATTCCAGTGTGCAAGTCCATAAAAGTCCTGACACGTAAGCCAAATGACTGTGTTCAGCCCCCTAGGAATGTGGAAATGCCAGGCAGAGCACACCGCAGGAAGCCTGTGATGGGTAGGAGCACAGTGTGTGCCCTTCTGCTACTCTCATGGGAAGACCCGTAGTGGGGCACCCGGCTGGCTCAGTCGGTGGAGCATGTGACTCTTGATCTCGGGGTTGGGAGTTCGAGCCCCATGCTGGGTGTGGAGATTACTTAAAGATAAAATCTTAAAGAAAAAAAAAGAAAAGAAAGGAAGAAAAAAGAAAGGCCCATAGCTGAAAATGGCTAATGGTTCAAAGCAAAAATAATTGTATAGCTATATTCCCAGTTCCTAATTTTGTAATTCAGAATTTATAAATTGCTCCTTTCAGCTGGCAGTAGAATGAAGAGATTCGGCCAGTTCCAAGGGCTGAACTTTTAAATATTTAATAAATGATATTTTTAATATTTCATCACATTCAATTGGCCTTATCAAATATTTATAGAAACAAGTGAATAATATTTCTGTAATCTTCCCCCCAAAGAAATCACAAATAAAGGAACATGTCACCCATGTTGAGAGTCTTCACCTGATTCGTTTCACCACATTCTAGGTCATTAAAAAGCCAATTCAATTTTTAATTGAAATCACGGAATAGCAAGACTGGCAATCAGACCTTCCGTACTTAAGTTCCACCTGGGGACATGCCTAGGACTTTAGGACAGGGCTGGTTTTGTGGTTGTGGGAGATTTTTTTTTTTTGAAGATTTATTTATTTACTTGAGAGAGAGCGTGAGTGGAGGGAGGGGCAGAGGGAGAGGGAGAATCCCAAGCAGACTCCCCGCTGGGTGGACACAGTGCGTGATCTCACAACCCTGAGATCACAACCTGAGCCAAAATCAAGAAGAAGCTTAACCAACTGAGCCCCCCAGGCACCCTGTGATAGATTTTAATCATTAGAAATTGCCATCAATTTAAAAATCAAGAGGAA